GCCCCTGGAGTCGCTCAAATTACTTGCCTTCCAATGACCTTCCCAGTATTTGTAATGGAACTCTGGGAATGTGTTTAGAAACAGGAATGTCCTCCAAGGATCCTGGCCAGACTGGCATCCATGTAATTTGATGGATGCTCCGTGTCTGTGAGCAGCTCTGGGATGGCTAAATCCATTTATTTCAGAGCTGCTCCCCTTTGACCCTGTCTGGCAAAATAATACAAAGTTTTTAATATGCTCAGGAATTTGGCAGCTTCCCAGGATGCAGTACCAGGTTGGGAAAGGAAATTTGAAGGTTGGAAGGAATGGAGCAGTTGCTGGAAGTGCTGCTGCAGGAGAGGAGATGTTGCCCAAGGTTGGGTATTGAGCCTGGAATTCCTTGGGAGCTCCTCCTTCCTTCAGAGTGTCTCCTGAATGCCTATGATTTTTCTCATCTTCCAGCACTTTTTAACTTCTAGGAAATATAATCCTTTAATAATTTATGTTTAACATCCTTTAGCAGCCAAATTCCCTTAATTCTGACAACTGGAAAAGGCAGGAATTAACTCTTCCTATACAGGGAGTGCTCCCACTTTTCCCTGTGGTGTTTGTGTTATTTCATCTGTAAACTCAGGATAATTCACGCTTTTATTCCCAGATTTAAGTGGAAAAATCATTCACAGATTTAACTGGGAGAGGAAAATTTGACCATTAAAACATGAATATTCAGAACATCCAAGTTTATTTCCATGTTCTTCCACAGATCCCAGGATCTGAAGTACCAAACACACAACCCTGCTTAAGTTGGTTTTTGGGATGTTTTTCCCTCTAAATTCACCCTGATCCCAGGAATAAGCCCTTGGAATTTATGAACTCATTACTCCTAAACACCATGATCCGGAATTTCTCTTCTGGGATGTGGAGAGGACTCAGTTCTTCCTGCATCCCAACCATGCCAAGGGACGCTCCGGAGCTTCTACAGCTTTTGGCTGCTGGGTGTTGGGATCAGGGCTGCCACACATCCCTTGACATCCCACTTTGCCTCCCCAATTCCCGCAGGGAATGGTGCTCTCTGCTGAGTACATCAAGAAGAAGCTGGAGCAGGAAATGGTGCTTTCCCAAGCTTTCGGACGTGACTTGGTGAGTTCAAGTTTTCCTTCCAGACAGAGGATGAGAATTCCCTAAAAACCTGGTTTTTAAGGGAATCTCCATGTCCTGAATCCCTTGTATTAATTTCTCAACCCTCCCTTCAATTCCTGTCCCTCTGGATTGCCAACTCACAGAATCCTGGAATGTGGCATTGGAAGGGACCTTAAAACTCCTCCGATTCCAACCCCCTGCCACGGGAGGAGAACATTCCATAAGATTAGGTTGCTCCTCAAGGCTTTTTTGTTTTGGAAACAGTAATACTGCAGAGCTCCTGATTATTTCATTTTTCCTAAGGCAGGAAGTCCCACGTGGGAATGCAGGACAGGGAATGTTAAAACCAGGCCAAGGGGAACTAAAATCACATCTCTCTGGAGATTCTTTCTGGAGTGCTGTCCCTGGGAGCAGATTCCTGGTGGCAGGGAGCTATCAGAGATCCCGAGGGAGGTGTTGGGAAGCAGCTTACCTTGGTTGATAGGTTGGGAATAGCTGTGGAAGTGCTGCCTCGGGATGTTTGGTGGATGGAGGGAGAGATGCTCCGGCATCCAGTGGCATCCCTCTCTGCCTAGAAAGGGAATATTGAGTGTGCTCCTGTTAATCAGGAGGAATTTTTCCTCATTTTAGGCACGTAAATACCATCCCAGCTCCCACCAAAAATTTCTCTATCTCAGGATATTGTTTCTGACAGTTGCCAGCAGCAGATATTCCAGGGAAAAGTGTTCAATGAGGTGTAGAAACACTTTCTCCAGGGATCTGGATATTATCAGGAAGCTGTGAGATTTGAAGAAGGGCCAAAGGCTCCTGTCAAATCCCAAAGAATTCAAACAGCTGGTGTGCATTTCCTGTTTCTTCCCATCTTTTTCCTTCTAGGGAAGAGGCAGTAGGTCAAACGCTGATGGAGATGTAGAATTCCCGAAGTGAGTGAATTCCAGCATCCAGGACCTGGAGTGCCAGGGCAAGGGGGAATGGCTCCCCACTGACAGAGGGCAGGGTCAAATGGGATATTGGGAAGAAATCCTTCCCTATGGGGGCAGTGAGGAATGTATTTCCCAGGGAAGCTGTGGCTGCCCCATGCCTGGAAGTGTCCAAGGCCAGGTTGGACAGGGCTTGGAGCAAGCTGGGATAGTGGAAGGTGTTGGGATTGGAACTAGATGACCTTTAAGGTCCCTTCCCACTCAAACCATTCCAGGATTCCATGATGATTCCATGATTGAGAACAAGGAGCTGTTCAGCTGGAATCTGGAGCTTTCACACATGAAAACCACTCAAAGTGGAGAAAGGGAGAGATTTGGGGGATAAATCCCTGTTAATTTCCAGTGTGATGTCAATTTCTTGTTGGTTTTGGTTTCCAGGGCAGAGGGACAAAACACTATGGATTGATTGTGGTTGGCCATTCCCTGGGAGCTGGAACTGCTGCTATCCTATCCTTCCTGCTGCGTCCCCAGTATCCCTCCCTGAAGTGCTTTGCCTATTCCCCCCCAGGTGGGCTGCTCAGGTAGGTCTTGGGATTCAGGTGGGATTGGAGCTGGATCACATCACGGCTGGGATCCTCTAAGGAGCAGGAAAAGGGACAGGCAGCCTGGATTTGCCGAGTGTTGCCTCTGTGACAGAGTTTGGAATTCAGGGTAGGATGGCAGGTGGCCACTCTCCCAAATATTCCTGAGTTGTCTATGGCTCTAATTTTAACGAAAAATGCAAGCTGGATGCAATTTCCATGCTCTTTCCCAGCCTTGATCCAGTTGTTAGGATTCCTTTTCCAAAGAAATTTCACCTCACTTTGGGATGTGATTTCTCCCATTCCAAAGTGGTGGCTAAAAAAGGTCTGCGGGATTGTGCTTTTTGGGTGCTGGTCTCCCTCCCAAGGGGGGAATCCAGGGAGAGACTAATGGGGAATTCCTCCCATTATGAATTGGAACAGACCTTCAGGTCACAATATTCCCAAACAAAACCATCCCGTGGCACTGCTGGGAAGTGAGGGAAGGTCTTTCTAGTTGTCATGGGGATCCTTGAAATCAGCTTGGGATTCTCCGAAGCTCCTTGTGGCAGTTCCTGCATCATATTCCAGGAGCAGCCAAGGGTTTTAAACCACTCTGCTAATGGATCTGGATGTTGACATTCCTTGTTGTTGTAATTCCTGGTTTTCTGCAGCCACAGAGCTACAGAGGAGGATGTTTCATGGGAGTTTTGTAGCTTTTTGTTCAGAAATTCCACTTCTGGATCCCTTGGGAGCTCCTGACTTATGTTGTGCCCAGGATCATCTCCAGGAAGCTCCATAGAGTGGGAATCTGAATTCCTTCCCTCTCGGTCCTCAGGTTGCTCCAGAAATTTGCCATCTGAGTTCTCCACAATATTCCAGTCTTTCATTCCACAGTGTCTTTGTCAAGTAGTCTCAGGGGCCCGGAATATCTTCTTCCTTGGCTGCCCTGCCATTCCCAAACCCTTGGGAAATGACTAGGAGACGCTGAGTTCAAGTACTTCCTTTCCCAGGTGGATCCAGAGCCATATGCAGGGAATGTTTGAGCCCTGGGATGTGGATAGGAGGCTTTTCTTTCCCAAGGTGCAAATCCTGAAGGCCTGGAAGTAGCTTGGATTGGGGTTTTGTGCCCCTGGTTCTCTGCCACCGAACTGGGAATGAAACACTGTTTGCTTCTTCCTGGTCCTGTTTCTCTTTCAGTGAGGATGCCATGGAGTATTCCAAGGAGTTTGTGACTGCAGTGGTGCTTGGGAAGGATCTGGTGCCCAGGCAAGTGGAGGTGTCCCAAATCCATAATGAACATTTGCTGTCCTGTCCCCAAATCATCCATTTCCTGTCAGAAACACATGGATCATCTGTCTCCAGATTCCTCATTTTCCTATCCTTGTCTTGTTCCTTATTTATCTTCCTCATTCCTTGTGGTGTTCCTTATTTATCCTCCTGCTTCCCTGTGTTTTCCCTGGGCAGGGAAAGTGTTTCATGTGCCTTTTTATAGGCAAATCCTTCCTGTGGGCCAGAAAAGTGGGAGTATCCTACCTCTGGAATCACTCACTGTGGTCCCTGGAGTATCAGTGTCATCTTCCCAGTTTCTTGTGTTATCTTGGATATGCTGTCATCTCCTGTTTGTCCCAAAATTCCTGTTCCGTGCCATGTCATATCTCTGGACCAGCTCATTCCATGGCATTTCTCCCGTTCCTCATCTCCTTGGATATGTTCTGCTGAGCAGGGATTTGGGCCGGGACAGACAACCTGGGATTTACCTGGATGATGTGACTTTGTCCATCCCAGAATTCCCTCAGTGGTGTCACTTGGCTCCGAGACACCTTCCCAAGTCACCTGTTCCGCGTCATCCTTCTCTGGCTTCTGGGATTCCACTGTCACCTCCCTGTTCCCTGAGCTGTCTCCAGTCTGTGTTCTCTGCTTCTGTTTGTTGTCCTGGTGGTTCCCGAGGCCCCTCTGCCCTCATTCCTGCTCCTGGGTGGTGCCACAATCCACCTGGGAAACCTGCACTGGATTTCCCCCCCTCCCAATTCCAGTCCCAGTTCACTCTGGGTTTTTCCATTCCAGATTCCAGCCCCAATCTGCTCTGCATTCCTCGCATTCCAGATCTCAGGCTCAATCCATGCCAGGTTTTTCCATTCCAGATTCTTACCCCAGTCTGATTCCCCACCATTCTGGATCCTGGCCCCGATCCGGTCTGGATTCTTCCTGTTCCACATCTGGAGCCCAATCCAGTCTGGGCTTCCCCCCATTCCAGATCCTGGTCTGAATCCAGTCTGGGTTTTCCCTCATTCCCAGTTCTGACTGTGATCTAGTCCAGGTTTTCCCTCACTCCAGATTCCGGCCCTAGTCTGGCCCAGGTTTTCCCCCATTCTGGATTCTGGGCCCGATCCAGTCTGGGTTGTCCCCCATTCCAGATCCCAGCCCTGATCCAGTCTGAGTTTTCCCTTATTCCAGATCCCAGCCCTGATCCAGTATCCTTGTAGTATCCTTTTGGATGGGATTCCTTGTTCTGTGCCCATGTGTCTTTCCCATCCCATTCCCTGCCCAGGTGTTCCAAACACGTCTTCCTCTTTTCCATGACCCCATCCTCCTGTTTTCCATACTCACACTTTCCTCTTTTCCAGGATTGGGCTCTCCCAGCTGGAGGGATTTCGCCGGCAGCTCTTGGATGTTCTCCAAAGAAGCACCAAACCAAAGGTAAGAGGGAAGAGGGACAAACACCTGGAAGTGTCTCTGGGCAAGGACAGGGAATTTGAGTGTCAGGAAGGGCAGGTTTCCTCCTTTGGAAAGGGATCTCTCTTTAGGAAACTACAGGAACGATGTGAAGAGATGCAAGCAGAGCTCAGTGGGATGATTCCAACTCAGGTGTTCCAAGTTCACCATCACAGATCCCAAATAACCCAGCAGGGAATTTTCTGTCTGAGCCTGTTTTGGTGTAGCCAGGAAAAAGCTGGGAACAGACTGGAATTGTCTGTTTATAGGCATGGCTGGTGATGTTGGGATAAGGAGTCTGGTCATTACACCAAGATAGAAAAAACCATAAAACATGAAGATTTTTAGGGATGAAACATCACAGGAATTACCTGGAAAGGGAGAAACCGAGCTTGTGTTTATTTCTGTTGTTAAATTCTGATTTTTGTGGTTTGACTTCAGGTTCTTGGGAAATTCTTCATGTTTTTTGAGGGTTTTTTGGTGGATTTGGGGGGATTTTTTGGTGTTTTTTTCCTTTTTTTTTTTTTTTTAGGGTGTGTTTTGTGGGTTTTTTAGGTGTTTTTTGGTGGGCTTTTTTAATTTTTTTTAAAGTTTTTTGGTGTTTTCTTGGGGGTTTTGTTTGGGTGGGCTCTTAAATTTTTGGTGGTTTTTTCTGGTGCTTTTTAGGACTTTTTTGTTTTTCTGTTTTTTTGGTTTTTTTTTTAAGGTGGGTTTTTTAGTGGTTTTCTACGAGATTTTTGCAATTTTTTTTTGTGGTTTTTTAGGGCTTTTGGTTGGATTTTGTGGTTTTTGAGGATTCTTTTGGTGGCTTCTGGGGAAAGCTTGGGGTGTTTTTTAAGTCTTTTTTGGGGGGGGTTAGGGCTTTTTGATGAGTTTCTAAGCTTTTTGGGGGGGTTTTGGTAGTTTTTTTAGGGAAGTTTTGTGGATTTTAGGTGTTTTTGTGTGTGTGTTTTTTGTTGGAGGGTTGATGGTTTCTTAGGGTTTTTTTGGTGGGTTTGAGGAGTTTTTAGGACTTAAAATCCCAAACAACTTTTTTTATCAGCATTGTTTAATCTCATCCCTGTTTTTGTCCATTAGAAATTGCTTCCATCCACTTCCTTAATCCTGGAAAATACCAATTTATCCCTTGATGGACATCAATCCCATAAATCCTTAACTGCCTAAGGAAAAACAAGGAGAGATGGGATGTTGGCTTAGAAGTGGGAAAGGAAAAGCAACTCTGCAGGAACACCTGGATCATTTCTATCTCCAGCTTCCTCATTTCCCTGGCCTTGAGTTATTCCTTTATCCTCCTGCTTCCCTGAGTTTTCCCGGGGCACCTCTGTTGGTGTCTCACACTCCTTTTTAGAGGCAATTCCCTCCCATGTGACAGAAAAGGGGGAATATCCCACCAAAGGGGGAATAAGAGCACGGGGTTATCCCTGGCTCTTATTCACGGAACCAGCGCCCCAAAGGTGGGATTTTTGCTGTTGAAACCTCCCGAGTTCTGCAAGGTGACGGTGCCTCTCCGTGCTTTTCCTTCCCTCAGTGGCGGATCATCGTGGGGGCCACCAAGTGCATCCCCAAATCGGAGCTTCCCGAGGAGACGGAGGAGAACTCGGCGCCGAGCAACCGGCTGTGGGCGCACCCCAGTGACCTGACCATCGCCCTGTCCGCCAGCACCCCCCTGTACCCGCCAGGCCGCATCATCCACGTGGTGCACAACCACCCTGCCGAGCAGTGCTGGTGAGCCGGGGACACCCCAGGGGGAAACTCCCTCTTGGGAATGGTGTAGGATGGGTTAGGTTGGAATGGGACCTCTAAAGATCCGTGGGCAGGGATACCTGCCGCTGCTCCAGGGTACTCCGAGCTGGCCCAGAGCACTTTCGGGGATGGGGCAGCCCCAGCTTCCCTGGGAAATCCATTCCAGGGCCTCTGTGCCCTCACAGGGAAGAATTTCTCCCCAGTGTCCCATGTAAACCAGTGCATGGAATCCTGGCATGGTTTGGGATGGAAGGGAGCTAAAGATAATCCGATTCCACTCCCTGCTGTGGCAGGGATGCCTTTCACTGGTGCAGGTTGCTCCAAGCTGGCCCAGAGCACTTCCAGGGATGGGGCAGCCACAACTTCCCTGGGAAATCCATTGCAGAGCCTCCCCTCCCTCCCAGGGAAGGATCTCTTCCCAGTGTCCTATCCAAACCCACTTTCTGGCAGTGAGAAGCTGTGCCTCCTTGTCCTGTGTCTCTGAGCCCTTCTCCAAATTCCCTCTCCAGCTCTCTGGGAGCCCCATCAGGCACTGGAATGTCATTCCCTGCTGGATAATGCAGAGTTTGTAGCAACGTCTCCTCCCTCTGTTTTTTCCTGCTGTTGCTTTTTCTCTCTCTCCAACCAAAACATTTCCCTGCTGCTTCATCCCATTTTCCCCTTTGTTTGGATCCTTTTTCCAGCTGCTGCGAGCAGGAGGATCCCACGTATTTTGCCATCTGGGGGGACAACAAGGCCTTCAATGAGGTGATCATCTCCCCAGCCATGCTCCATGAACATCTTCCGTATGTGGTCATGGAGGGGCTCAACAAGGTAAGGGAATTAGGATCCCAAACATCCTTGTGGGATGGGCACTCCTTTCCCCCCAATGCTGGGGGTTTAAATGCACAAGGACACTTATCCTGGGGAAGGGGAGGAGAAGTGATAATGCTCCACGTCAGTCTTGTGCACGGGATGTCGGAGTTGGATGCGGTGAGGTCTGGGAATGGAACTCCCAGAGCTCCCAGTCCTGTTTCCAGACTTGGTGTTGGAATAACGGGAGGTTGGGTGGTGGTTGGTTCATTCCAGGAGGTGCCCATTGGATGAGTCCAGGTAACATCCGGGAATATGTCAGGGTTTATCCGTCTAATCCTTTGTCTCCAGACCTTTCCTTGTGCTTCCAGGCGGCTTTGGGAAGAAAGAGGCAAATCCAGCTCCTAGTAAATCCCTGCTGTTTTTCTCCTTGCCTTGGACAGGTCTTGGAAAACTACAACAAGGGAAAAACCGCTTTACTTTCCGCAGCTAAGGTGATGGTGAGTCCGACGGAAGTGGATCTCACTCCAGAGCTGATATTCCAGAGCCAGCCCTTGCCCAGTGGCCCTTCCATTCAGGTCGGAACTGGAGCCATCCCAGCAGAGAGGAGGAACAGCAGCACCAAGTAAGAATGGATATTGGAAGGAATGTTGGCTCTAGGCGTGGATCCTCTCCCTCCTGGGGTGTTGTGATCCGTGTTTATGGATAGATCTGAGGGATGCCTTTCTGGGACTTGTGTCAGGGGGAAAAAAATCCTTTGTATTCCTCAGGAATCTGAGTGGAGCAAGGTCAGGAGAACACAGAAGGTATGGAAGAAACTCCCTTTACTCCTTATCCAGACAAATCTGGTTTTCCCAAGGTGAAACTTCCAGCCAAATTTGGTGATTTTTCCAAAGCACGACATATACATTTAAAGCTGCTTTATGTTGGGATTTATGGAATATTATAAACAGAATCATGTTGGGAACATGGATACAGGTGAGGGGAAAGCAGTTGGTGTCCTGTATGGGAAGGATAAGAGCCTGAAATCCAGTGGAAAACAGAGAAGAGGAGGAGCTGTATTCCAAGTGCTGAAGGTGTTCCCACATCTGGACTGGCAGGGAAAATGAAGGAAGGGAGACAGTTTGCATCCAGAGGTAGCTGTGAGTGGAACCAGGAGATGGAATTGTGGATGGGAAAGGATAATTCCTTGGCAAGGGAAGCACTTCCATGGGGTTTTCAGGGAGAGAGACCCAACAAGGAGCTGTGGGGTGAGGGATATCTGGGTAAGTGGAGATCATAGGAGGGAGATTTAAATTCAGAGGGAAGATAAGGCAGCAGATAACGTGGAAAAATGGGAACGTTCTTGTCACAGAGAGTGAATGGTCAGAGGCAGGGAAGGAGAGCTTGGAAGCAGAACACAGCTGGTGGGTTGGAACAGCAGGAACAGGGATTGTCCCAGGTTTTTGAGAGCTACAGTAAGACTGGGAAGATGCTGTTTAATTCCAGGTTAGAACCATCTTAATGTGTTGGATTTCCTCTTTTGGGATTCTTGGAATCTCTTTCCAGATCACTGTTACTCCATTGAAGCTACAGAGGGATAAGGCATTGCCTTACCTCTTAAAGCATTCCCTGTATATCCCATCCTTTGGGCAGGTGCAGGAGTTCTCTTCCCAAAAAAAACTTCCATAGTTCCATGTGCTTAAGGCTGTTGATTTGTCTGCAGCTGATCCCAAACCTGGTGTGGGAGCTCCTTCCCTGTGTTTTTCTGGAAGAGCCTGCCTGATCCTTAAAGTCTTGGTGTAGCTGGAGTTTTCCTACCTGATTTAAAGGCTGGTCATGGAAAATGCTCTGACAACCTCTTGGAATTTGTGGTGGGATCACCAGCATGAAGAGGGAGGTGAAAGCCTGAGCATGGAATGGTTCTAGACTGGGAAAAGGAGAAAGTGGGTTAAGTGTAGGTTGGTCCTTCAATCTCTCTTCCCTAAATCCTCTTTAATGCAGAGTTTTTGGATGCTTTGGAAGTGCTGCAGGTTTCTCTGGGAGCAGAGCCATGATCCCAAGTGACAATGGTGCTGGAGAAGGAAGACACTGGGAGAATCATGGAATGGTTTGGGATGGAAGAGACCTTAAACACCATCTCATTCCAATCCCCTGCCATGGGCAGGGACTCCTTCCACTAGCCCAGGTTGCTCCAACCTGGAACACCAGCAGGGATGGGCATTCCACAGCCTCTCTGGGCAGGAGAGAAGGATTTATTTAGCCAGGAGGACAGGGAGAAGGGCAAGAAACGCTGTTTGCTGAGGGAAGAATCCGTGTGATGTTTTCTCCTGGGAGAATGGAGCGATAAGAGATTTCCAGAGGCTGTGGGTGGGTTTGGTTGGGGGAATTGTGTGAGGAGTTCTGTGCCCAGGACACTCTACTCCTCTGGCTTCCTTCTCCCCTCCTCTTTTCCCACTGCAGGAGCAAATCCCACTCGGAGATCAGCCTGGAGGGCTTTTATGAGACGAAGCCACTTTCCCCGGTGCAGAAGGACCCGGTGGAGCTGCTGCTCCTGGACACAAAGGAACGCCTTTCTGTGGAGCTGCAGGACCGCCGGGCCCCTCTGGCCACCATGGAGAGCCTCTCGGACAACGAATCCATCTACAGCTTTGACTCCCGGCGCTCCTCCGGCTTCCGCAGCATCCGGGGCTCTCCCAGCCTCCACGCCGTCATGGAGAAGGACGAGACGCACTGCTTTTATATCGATCCCATCATCCCCGAGGAGAACCCTTCCCTCAGCTCCCGGACTGAGCTGCTGGCTGCTGACAGCCTCTCCAAGCATTCCCAGGAGACTCAGCCCCCGGAGAATGTCCTTAACAGCGGCGGAAGCACCCCGCAGCGGCGCTGCAGCGCCCAGGGCGCTCGGAGCGATGGGGAGTGCAGCTCCTCGTCCCCCCGGGAAGAGCCAGCGCTGCACAACGGCCGCCTGGCCGATGTCCCCAGCCCCCAGGTTTTGGAATTCGCCGAGTTCATTGACAGCCTCTTCAACCTGGACAGCAAGAGCAGCTCCTTCCAGGACATCTACTGCATGATGGTGTCGGACAGCTCCAGCGACTTCGCGGAGCTTCCCAAATCCATGAGTGACCAGGAGATCCTGCTGAGGGCGCAGTATGAGCCCAACTTGGTCCCGAAACCGCCGAGGTTGTTCGCGGGATCGACGGATCCTTCGTCGGGCATCTCCGTGTCGCCATCCTTCCCCCTCAGCTCGTCCGGAGAGCTCATGGACATCACTCCCATGGGCGTGAGCAGCCAGGAATGCCTGACCACAGAAAAAATACGGACTTCCACCCCCTCCGGACACGTAACCAGCCCTGCCAAGCAGGACGACCTCATGATTTCAGCCCTTTAGTGCTTGGGAAAAGGGGTGGAATGATCCGGGGGGATAATCCGTGGAGGAGAGGAACGGTCAGGATCAGAGGAGACGGCTGGAAACATCCCTTCCAGGATGGCACAGCGGTGCCTGGAGGATGGATTGTGCTGGAATGCTGTGCTTGGAGCTTGGGAGAGGCTTTACCCTGTGGGACCTGAGAGGGTCTGAGGCACTAAAATTCCCTACCTCAGCCTGGCTCTCATTCCAGAGGCAGATTCCTTCCCCTGGGGCACCTGCTGCGTTTGGGGAGCGAGACCCCCTGCTCTGGGAATCCTGTGGGTTTGATTCCATGAAACTCAAGGATGGAGAGTTGGGAGCAGGAGCGGGGCTGGGATGGATCCCCCCTCTGGACCAGAGCCGCTGGTTTGGGGAATGAGCGGATTGAGACTTTGGGCCCAATTGCACTATCACGGATCAGGCCCAGGCTCCAATCTGGCCACTTCCATGGGGATTGCTTTTGTAGGACACTCCAGTTTTAAAGCCATTGGGGCTGTATCCCCTCCAAATCCAGCCTCCCGTTCCTGGCCGGGTGCAGCGGGAATGGGACTGGCACCATGTTTCCTCTCACCCGAGTGTTCCTGAGGGAAAGACGCTGTTCCCAAGAGCCAAATCCCTCTGCCACATCCAAGTTCTCTTGGATCTCACCACCGTTGCTCCTGGATTCTCCGGACCCCTCTGAGCTAACGACATTCCTGCGGGACTGCTGAGATTCTCATCTCAGAGCTGTGTGGAGGCATCGACTGGAAAACTGACCCAGCATTGTTTTCCGAGGCCCTGTGGAATCTGGGAGCCTTTCCTGGATCCCCCTGGGTCCTCACACTGCCCATATGCAGCAACCATGGATCGGTGTCAGCCTGTTGTTAGGAACTTAGGGAAAAGATGGACTTTTCTTTCCAGGTGTTGAAACCTTTTGTATGTTTACAGAGCTGCTGTTTGGAAGATATTTATTAAGGAAACAGAGAGGTTTTCCCAAAGGAAAAGCCTGGCCATCCTCTTCTCCCCATGCCTTTCTTGCTGGGAAGAGAGGGTGGGCAGGCAGAATTCCAAGTTCCCTGCTTTCCAAGTGGCTGGGGTGTGGGGGGAGCTGCCTGCATCCCTCTCCCCGCTCCCCTGCACAAGCGCACGGAGTAAAACCGGAGGAAGTGGTGAGGAAAATCTGCCTGAGGCTGCTCAGCCACTCCAGGCAGGTTTTCCAAGGATGGGAGCAGCAGGAAAACTACCTATTTAGGGAATGAAACCCTTTTGTGACCTGGAAAAGGCCCTTTGTTGGCAAATCAAAGCTCAGCACTTCCCAATGGGTCTCCCTGGAGTTCTGTCCTCCCTTCCTGGAAAAGAAAGTCCCACTTTAACTTCCTTACAATCCTTTTGTTGCTCCCTTTCCCCCTCCTTAGCTGGGATATTTCCATTGTGGGAGGATGCTGTGCTTCCCAGGAGCTGGCAAATCCCTGGGCTCCCCGTGGTGTCTGGAAGCCTTGGGATGGGCCTTCCTTTGGGAATAACTGACATCCAACAGGAGCACTTTATAAGCGATATGCACTGGTGGAAGTAGCTCCAGGTGCACAGAATTTCACTGGAATGTGTCCAAGTGCTGATATCCCCCTCACTTGATCATGGGATACACATTCCCTGCTCCCTACCCATTCCAGAGCCTTCTGAAGTGCTTTCAGTGGGAAGTTAAAACGTTATGCCTGTGGTTTAAGGTTCCAAAGGTGACCTTTCCCTGTGTGGAACTGGAGCAGAGGAAGCCCCTCTGGATTCAGAGGGATGTGTAGAAGGAAAAACCCTTTTGTTCCAAGCAACCAGAACTTCCTTTTGTTTTTGTAGGTCTGTAAAAAGGAGCAGGTTCAGGAGCTCAGCACAACACAGGCCCAATTCCTGCCCTCAGGAAGCACTACCAAGGTGATTTTTCAGGAATACGCACAAAAATCCGGGAAGTTTGGAGGAGAAGAGGGGAGCTGAGGGGTAGGGGGGGGCAGGGCTAGCAGGCTAGCTCACTTCCCAGCCCGGGAATAAGGAGCTCATTTCCACCCTTAATCCTGGCAGGAATTAACCCTTAGCACTAAGGCAGAGCTTTGGATCTGCAAAGCACTTTAAAACATTGAGGAAAGGGTCATCTCCGTCCCTGGGAGCCACAGGGACCCCTGGGATCAGGTGGGATTCCTGGGGAGGAGGTGCCTCTGGCTGATGCAGGTGGGATATTTCCCTCCTAAATGATTCCAGTTGGGATCTGCTGGTGTTTAATGGCTCAGATGTTGCACTAGAAAGTCACTTCCCACCTGTGTCCTGGAAAACTCCATCCTTGGCTGACTGTTCCCTTCTCTGTGCCATTGGAACTGTATCCCATGGGAACAGGGTTCCCTTGCCCTGACTGGAAGCAGCCAGGAATGCTGCACTAAAAGCCTGGAAATCCCTAATTCCTGGGAGCTGGGCTTGCCATGGATCAAGGAGTGAAGGTGGAAAGGAATCCCTTGAAGGTTCGGACTGGACCGAATCGAGGACAATTCCTGGGCTTTGGTGTTCCCTCTTGACAAGCAGATCTGATCCTAGTGCTCCCAAATGAAATCCCTACTCTTGAAATCGGTTGGGCTTTAAATCTCTTTCTGTCTTGATCCCCATCCCTGGATCTTGATCCCCATCATTCCAAATCTCAATTCTCATCGCTCCTTTGCTCTGAGGGTATTTGGAAAGGCTAATCTCTTACTCCCTCCTGGAAAAGCCCTTCTGGAATGCTGGAATAACTGCTAAACCCACAGCTACCTTCTGCATCCGTACTGGCCATGCTTCCTACTTTCTCTGCCTGCTCTTTGGAAATGTGAAGCTTCTGCAGATTTTTCTTGGCTTCTGCTTCCTCCTCTTAAGCTTTGTGCCTTCCAGTCTTCCCAGGATATTTCAACAGGATGGTCCACCCTGGGCTGAGGTAGTGCTGCAAGTGCCTGGCATCCCAAATCCTGGCTGGTCAGTTCCGTGTCACAGCCTCAAAATCCATTGGGATCCCTCTTCCCAGTGCTGGATGGCCTTTAAAGGCCCTTTCCTATGCAAAGTATTCCAAGAGTTTCGTGGGAGAGGAATGGAGCGTCTGCATCCATAATAATGGATTTAATTGTGGCTTTGCCTGCAGGAGTGCCAGGAATTTTGGGAAGGATGTGCTGTGAGGGATTGACAAGCCCTCCTCCAGCATTTTTCATTTTTCACTCTTCTTCTCCACTTGGAATATTGAATTCCTCCTAAAACTTCCACTTCCCTATTTTCTTTGCTCCCTGTTCCTCTCACCTCATCCCTCCTCTTATCCCACATCCTTGATAGCTCCACTTGAACAGGGAAAACTCTTCCTGGCGATCTCAGGATCATCTGAAGCAATTAAATGGAATTCCTGGAAATTTTGAAGACTTTTTTCCCCAAGGAAAACAGGATTTTTAGGAGATGTTTTGCTCTCTCTGGAGGACTGGGATGGCAAAGCTGGTGGTGAGTGTGGATGTATACAATCCCGTGGTTCCCATTTCCATTCTTTTGGGAAATTGTCGCTTCAATTCCAGGAGTAGTTGATGTTCCCCAGAGGGATTTAGGTGGGAAATCTTTGTCCAAGGGCACATAAGGAGGGAAGATTCCAGGAGCAGGGATACAGGATCGGTATCTAATATAGTCCTTAGGCACTTGGATGTTTTCTCAGCTTTTTTTTCCTCTTTTCCTGCAGGCAGATACAATATTTCCACAGAATCCCCTAGACTGGATTTGCTAACTGGGACATAGGAATAACCGGAATTATCCCTGGAAATGGGAATTAAGTGGGAATAGTCAATGCTTGTTCAGGTTTGTATCGCAGAAGCTCCATGGAGTTGGATTTCCATGTTTGCCTTGGGAATTGCTGGGCTGGGTTTATCCCTATCCAATCTGGAATATCATTCCCTTGGTAGTAGAACATTCCGGCTTTGCAGGATGGCAGGAACATTTCATTCCCGTGTTCTTTTAGGGATGGGGGTTGTAACTGCATCCTTTGGGGAACATGCAAACATTCCCAGAGAGGTTGTGGACTCCCCATCCCTGGCATTGTTCCAGGCCAGCTTGGATAGGACTTGGAGCAACCTGGAATAGTGGAAGATGTCCCTGCCCATGGGACTGGATGGGCTTTAAGTCCCTTCCCACCCAAATCATTCTGGGATTCTGGAATTCCAGTGTTCCTGCTACCTCTTTAAGCAGGAAAGGGAGGGTTGGAATTCCAGCAGTTGCTCTGATGACAGATGCCTCTGGAGGCAGGAATTGGAAAGCTCTGTCTGGATCGGGCTCGTTGCACATTCCCAGAGCCTGTGCAGGGCTGATTTTAGGGAAAAGCCGCTGGATTTTGGGAAGAGCCACATTGCCTGTGCCAAAGCTCCCCCTCATGGTGCTGCTGCGGTGCTCGGAGGAACCTGCAGGAGGCAAACATTCCCCGTCCTCGGGAACCCAGCTGGGATTCCTGTGGGAGTTCTTGCTTTCCACTGGGACCCATAGTGGGGTTATGGATGGGAAGTGAGATGGATCAGGAGCCACTGATGTCCTTCCCCCTCTTCCAGCACCCAAGGCGCTGCTTAAGGACTGGAAATTCCAGATATCCAAGGATTAGAGCAATTCCTTGCTTTGTCCCAGGGACTTGCAATCCTAAAAATCAGCAGCTGTCTCCATTCCCATTGTTTTCCTCCTTGTTTATTGAATTCATACTTCTTATGCCTTTGTTTTCCGTGGCTTCTGGTCCCGGCCTCCTGCCTGGCACTGGATTTTTGGGATCAGACATCTCCTGCTTCCTTTCCCACTTCTCTGGGTCTATGGAATTGTGGCTGCAGAGCTACCTGTGCTTCCAAGCCCTCCCGTTCTCCCTCAACCAGGAATTCCCACTTCTTCCTGCTTTTCCCTTCTGTCTCAGGTTGTATCCAAGTGCCAAAAGCAAATCCTGACCTGGGGCAGGTGGTTCCCTCACCCCTGGCTGGAACAGCCACCTTCCAAAGGGAAGCTGCCTGGGAATTTTCCCTGCTTTCCTTGCTGTGTCCTCACCATGTCCTGATATTTCCACCTTCCCAGACATCCATGGGATGAAGGGAATTTCTTCCTGGCTCCACCTTGATTCCTGCAAACCTTAAACGTGGAGCAGCCCAGGAACAAGCCCCTGATGCTGTTTTTTTTGTTGGGATTCTGCTTCCCTGCTTTCCATCCTGAGATTTGTGCAGTTCCTATGGCTCAGACTCAGAGGTCCTGGAGCACCAGAAGGAGGTGGCTCAGCCCTGCCCTGATATCCTGGTTTTGGGAAGTTCAGGAATTGTGTCAGGCTGTTTTTCCTTAGGCACAGCTACAGCTATGGGGCTGAACTCCTTTCCTGGAATGTTCCTGGAGCTCGCTGAGACGAGTGGCCTCACCTGCAGCTCCAGCTTCCCACTTTTCCCTCCCCCAGTCAGCTGAGGGATGTCCAGGGAACACTCTCCAGCTCCTGTCCTAGTGATGACCAGAATTCCTAATGGCACAGGGATTTTTGGGATGGGCTGTGCCTCCCTTGCCGCGTCCACGGAGCAGCAGGAATGTTGTGCCCTGGTCCGCCTCTGGAAAGGCCCTTTCTCCTGCTGTGCCCTGTGTCCCATCCTGAGCTGGGGCAGCTCAGAGCAGGAAAACCATGGATTCATTAACTTCTCGCCCCAAACTGCCTCTGGGTAGAACTGAAGCCTTTGGAATTTTTGGGAGAACTCTGAGCTGCTCCGAGCGTTTCCCACAGGGCTCGGAGCACTGGGATATGCCCTGGGGAGGGGAGGGGGGGACAGCCCAGCTTCCTGCATCCCTCTGCTCATCCCGGGCATGCTGCCTTCCAAATCCCTGCTCCCAGCTGCCCCAGCATGAAGATTACAAGGAAACTCAAGCACTTCCTCACGTG